GTTCCGAACAGCGAGACGAATTCTGGTTCAGACCAAAGATGGTAGGTATAAAAATAAATCTTTTCTACCGATCATAAATTCGAGACGATAACCTCCTGTATCTCGCTCCATCGGTTACACTTTGTTGTTCATCCACTTTGCATCGTTGATCAGTGCGCTTTGATCCGCTACCACCATACCTTTTCTCAATTCGTTGCATCATTCATCCAAATGTTTGCATCGGCCACGCCTGAAGCTGCATCGCGTGCGTCACGTGACAAGTCGCACGTTTGCACTCGTAGACTCTACTCACACTTGCATTGGCTGAAGCCACACCGAGCTTCGTTTATGATGGACCTAGCTAATTCCGTTCCATCCTTCCGACCGATCCGATCAGGTCACCTCACATTGGCGGCGGTGGATTGGCTTGCCGTGCTCAGGCCGCATGTCCGTTCCGTAGTCCCAGCGGACTAACAACCGTCACACACGTACCTTCAGCTTAGGTCCATTGATTCGCGCACACCGTTCACATGCCTCTGGTCGGACCAATCCGCTCCATCCTTGAGGTGACCACGCTGTGCGTCACTTATGCTGAACCGAACCAATTCCACGTTAGCATTCCGCCGCGTGCACTCATGACCAGCTCGCTTGCCAACACTTGATTGGCTTATACCTCAATGAGTTCGCTTCGGTTCCGTCCGATCAAACTACTAGCCGCCTTGACACTTCATCTGTTTGGCCTCAACTGCTGTTCAAGTCTATTAGCCCAACCACCGATTAGATGTTGCTATATTTTAAGAACGATGGGTATTCATCTAAGTGTGTGCCTTAACTGTTAATCTACACTGATCTAGAGGCAGGAGGCCCAGTCTAAATGAAATTTTGCTACAAGGAAAGGTTCAACTTGAGGAATATAGACTGAAGACCTCTGAGGATATCACGACCCCAAGGTTAATTCTACTTCTGGATCCAAGAGACAGCTGACCAGTTTCAACATCTAAACTCTCTTTCTGATCTAGACACCCTGTACAAACCAGATATGCATGCATTCCGAATGAATCAGCTGCTATATTTCATGATACGGACCGAGTACAGTATGAAACACTGCATAAAGTTTCACTCATCACCAGCCGTCTACCCGAAGAGCTGCTAGATGGCTGATAATATCTTAAATATGCAGCACCTTCGGCTAGTTCAGTGCATGAATTTATTTCCTGCGAATCGCTCTTCTAAATGGAACTCATGAGAACTCAACGTTTCGCTAGTTAAAGATTTATCTGTTCCAGCAATACCGTTTTTTCCGTGTCTCATAAACTCTCCTAACACCTGTCTTTATTCCTTCAATATTTTACAGCTCCGCCAGTCAGAGTGGAAAAGTCCGTTACGAAATATTCCTACAGCATCTGAATTGGCGATGTGAGAATACTGAAGAGCCACCTGAGGTCCCGTGTGATTACACCGGTAATTTGCCGGTGGACTGGTTGTCGACAAGCAAAGGACTTCAACCGAGATCACTTGGTCAAACGTATTTGCCACAATCGGACCGCATCGACCGAATCCGCTATCAGCCCTTGTTCGACGAATTGTGTGGTGTGGATAACCGCTGTGGTTGAAAGCAACAAGTTAAAATTAGCCAAGAGAAACCCCCGCAAGCTGGAACTTCCTTCTCTCCTACCCAGCGCTGTGACCAAACTTACCCTCTAGTTTTTTGATTACTGAGGTCCAGTTCGCTAGCCTGCATTCACAATGACGATGTGCAGAAAGCTATACGAAGTTGGCAAAAATCTAGCAGAATACCATATACACGAAAGGATGTGTGCTTCTTATTCGCTTGAACAAATTAATTAGAAACACGCGTTGGTCACTTAACAGTCCAGGTCGAATCAAAACAACACTTCTTACACGTCGGAAATTCAGTGTCAACACGCAAATGGTAAAGCAAACCATGCATATTTACATTCTCGACTAAATTTTCAAAGTAAAACCTGTGCCACATTTGCGTCAAATGCCAATGGTAATTTGGCTTCTTGGCCGAATTTTGTCCTCACGGCCGAATGTCATTGGATGGGGCCCTGGTGAACGGATCGGAAGATGAATGCAAGGCATTCTATTTCCGCCAAGAGTTCAGCACCAGTGTTGGGATATAAGGAAACGGGGGGATCAACGAAATACCATTTTCGTCCTTAGGTCCACTCACACAGCTGGCTGCGGCGTAGCACTATACACGCCACTGACTTGTTAGACTTCAACTAGACAGGGATAACACTCAACCACTGGACTGTAACTGTCTGCACGGATGTAGGGACTGAGTACCACTGATTCTAGTGAAATTAGACAAACGAAGCTTCTTGTCGACGGCCTACTGAGTGACAAACGACAGACACAAATCCGCTCACCTTATCACCGTTATACCAATCCACTAACTGTATACGTCAACACGAGCGGGTTGCAAGCGGCTAGCAATGCTGACATTAACGGTAATGTGTTGACTCCGACCGAATGTAGATCATTCGGTTGATCCTAGCTGGCCACCATAAAGCTCGCATCATCCACACAAAGTAGATGAAACATTTTCCCGTAAACGAATTCTCTACTTTGAAGATGATTGTCCTTTACTACGTCCTTTAGGCACGTGCTGTTACAAGGCAGCAGCTAGTGCAAAGTTGTACCAAGTATAACATGGTTCTCATTAGGATAATACTGGCCATCGTGTTCTCCAAAATTCGGCGCGTTTGTTGCGTGTAGCGAATTATATTTGGCTTAATAACTTGTGTCGCCAGTGACGCCTTCACCCCACGACCACCAGAAGAAGACCAAAGATGAGCCAGAAAGAGACTTGTATACATGAAATCACATTTGCTTATATACTTTTGAAGGCAAAATGAAGGGAAGCTACTCAACTACAGTTGAGCCAATCAACAGAAGGAAAACGTCAAATGCAACGGCGAACAAGCAATCGTGTACTCAAGGGCAAATCGCATATGTCCTTAAAAATAGCATCATGGGACCCAAGCGTAAGGCGAACATCCATTTACAGTGACGGGCACTGGCCAATCAGCATAACCAAATATAGCGTTTAAACAAATGTCATGAAACAAACGAGAATAAGAAATACAGACCCAAAAATTAAAAACTAGTACAATAATCGTGTGACAACTAAATATTCCTTTAACATAACCAAGTGGAAAAGTGATGCGGAGAAAACCAATGGAATGTGTTCTTGCAAATGGCACTGCTGAAGAAGACACGGAGATGAGCGTCCATTAACAATGATGTGTGTGGACCAGTCGGGCTAGCACAGTGGAGCGTTTAGACAGCAGTCAAGTAGTAGGAAATAGGAAGCGTAAAGAACAGCTATTAAGCTCGTTCGCAAAATGAATGTCTAATAGCTGTTCTCCTAATACCTCCTTCTCTTAAAATAATGAGTTACCTGGAGTTCACATAGCTCTTCCGATGCGGATCCACCTGGAGCGGCTGCACAAATCTTCTTGTTCGCTTTGGCCTGTACCGGGCTCCATTTTCCTTGCATTCCATGGGACGAACGTCACCACCTGCAGAGGTACAAGGATTGCCATTGTCCAGCCATACATTAACGTCAAATCCGCTGGCTTTCCGAACGACCGCACCATGTCTATACCGTGACGTCAACTGATTGACGTGGCGTCTCCATACCTGCGTACCAGATTGAACATCAAACATCACCTTGCCTCGACGTCGCACGACTCGTCCTGGTGTCCAAACGATCCGCCCACCCCGGTTAGTAGCCACAAACACAAAAACGCACACGTTGAAAATTCTTTCTGGCGCCAAATTCTACCTGTTGTATTGGCGCTCCATCACTGAATTTATTAGTTGTAGAGGCGGACGATTGGGTATAAGCAAATTTAGCGAGGTTCTCAATCTTCTACCCATAAGGGCTTCAGCTGGTGATTTCCTATTTGGCGAATTAACATTCGGAGTACTATGAATCAAGATCAGAAATCAATTCAGGGTGAAGAATTCTTTTCTGTAAACTCTCATCGGACCCAAACTTTTACATAATACTGATTGTGGAGGAAGCGTCAACTCGGGTTGGGATTGAGTTCTGGACTGTTTGAATGATCAAAATCGATAACTTGAGACAGGCGGAGAGATGGTAAACCAAGCAAACTAAATAAACATGTATACGCAAAGCTCAGTAATCTAAAGTAATTAAGTAGGTAAAATAACAGCCAAATAACTAAGTAACAGTGTCCGTTGGCCAAGGTAGTAGTATCGGCCGTATGAATCGTTTCTGTACACATAATTCCGGCTTCAGATGGTGAATGTACATAGCCTCGGCGATGGATAAGAGCTGTTTGCGGAATCCTTGGGAGAAGTGTTCGGGTAGTGAGTACATGACTTTGAAGTCATTCTCTGAAGCTGTATGGCCACATTCAAGGAGGTGCGACATGACTGAGCTGTCTGAATATCTTATTGTCCCTTTGTAAAACCATGCCGGGATGTGTTCACGAATCCTCTGAGATAGGCGCCTCGTCGTGCGACCCACGTTCCGTGCATCACAGGAGCACGAGTACTGATAAACGGTCATTGAACAACAGTCTATCCTTCAAGCGTTTTGTAAGCAGCGGCTTATTGTGAAAAACGATTCTCCGGCGGGCTGCGAAATAACTTTTCTCGACAGCATCTTTCAGGTGTCTGGAAAACATATCAGTTGCAGAATTACCCTTAAAGTGTATATGTATGAAAAGCTCTTTCTTAGGAGCAATGCTCCTACGTGGCTTTCGATTGCGTTCCTTCAAATGTTTCATGATAAATTTATCAGGATAGCCATTTTCCCTGAGGGCGTCGCTGATTCTCTGTAGTTCTTCTTTGACGGTATCCGGTGTACAAATACTGCGCGCCCTGAAGGCGAGAGATCTGATTAAACTCCGCTTATGCTGTAGCGGTACTGCGCTGTGGGAGTTAATGTACTGCCCAGTCCATGTGTGCTTTCTGTGTACCTTTCTGCTGCGTGATCCGTCCGAGTTACGGATAACCTCTACATCCAAGAAAGGTAACCGGTTTCCGACTTCGTGTTCACAAGTGTAATGGAGATTCTTGTGTGCGTCATTGAAAGCTTTCAGCAACTGCTCCGCATGCTTTTCGGATTTGCAAAGTACGAAGGTGTCGTCAACATACCGTACGTACATTTCGGTTTCACGGATGTGCGTTGCAAGTGGGCCATGTTCCAGTTTCGCCATGAAAATATCAGTCAGCAGCGGCCCCAAAGGAGATCCCATGGCCACTCTGTCAATCTGACGGTACATTTCACCATTGAAGGTGAACTGAACATTTAACGTGTAAAAAAGTAGCACCTTTAGCAAATTCTCCGGAAAAGTTGCGGATATGGGCAGTTGCCGAGCAAGCTCGCATATGTACTCCACGGTTTCGAGCAATGGAATGTCTGTGAACAGCGACTGGGCATCGAATGATATCGTCCTTCTGTTAACAAGGTTGCTTTCAGATATCCTCTCAATGAATTCGAACGTGTCTCTCACACAGTAAGTACAAACCAAATTCCGTAACGGCTGCAGCTTCGCCACCATCCACTGGGCCAACAAATGCTGAGAAGAACCCACCATGTCCAAGATTGGGCGCATTGGGGCGCCTTCCTTGTGAACATTAGGCAGGCAGCTGAAGGCTTCAGCTTTTCGAATTCGTTCTTCGTGATAAGTTTGGCTTGCATCATTCGCCTGAGACAGCCGGTTAGCTGGTTCACTAACTCTCCTGTGTTGTTTTTTCCTGCCATGACCCTCTGAAACTTACTCTCGTCACTGAGGATGTGCTGCAATTATGGATATAATCCACCCTATCCATTAGCACCATGCCGGAGCCCTTGTCTGGCTTAGAGATTATTAATTCATTGTTTAACCGTAGCTCTTTAAGTGACTGGATTTGTTCCCTAGTGATAATACTATTACTAGATGGTTTGGCCTTAACGTATTCGTGACAACTATGAACTAGGCTGGATTTTAGATTATCAGCATCATTGATGAGGTTGGAAGCAGGTCTTTAGTCTGAACAATTAGGCTTTCAAAGTGCACTTCTAAAGCCGCCTGATCTATTTTCTTACATGGCATGCGAAAGTTTGAACCTAATGACAACACGTTCTGCTGCGTCTGGGTTAGTATCACACATGAAAAGTTATGTGGATATCATCCGTGTTAAAATGTCGGTAATTTTGTACAAGATTGGGGACACGCATACATATAAACAAACGCGGGAAAAAGCGGGTGTCTTTCTTCTACAACCAGGGTATTCTGAGGCTGACCGATAGTTGTTTTTCCACATAAAGCACTGACTTAATCCGGTTAATCGAAATAGCCTCGGCAAATCAGAGGAGCCGGGAATTGGTTTGGCGAAGCAGGATCCCAAACGCCTTGTTGACCTCAATTCGGTGACCCGATGTCAATAAGTGTCTGTCGATCGAAGATGCTGGTGGCCAGCGCTCACATGTAGTCTGATTTGGACCTGCTTGCTGAATACTCCCGCACTGAACCCATTTTTGTACATGCTCCTTTATTTGGGAACTCTGTCTTCTATTGGTTTTACCTATGTAACCATCCCCGCAGTTACATACAAATTGATGTACGCAGTGTGAGTTGGCCCCAATAGGCTGAGTTTCCTTCATTGGAGACAATGGTAGCTTATGAGTTCGGTCGATGATTACAACTTTGGCAGCACAGCATGTGCTCTGTGTGGCGGAAATCAGACGTCTTCTGGTCTTCAAAGAAGCAATGTCACCATTAAATGAGAGCTTTAAGAATACCATTTTCTTAGGTAAAGTAGTTACAGCAACTTTCATTTCACGGATTTCGCTGTGCTTCCGGATCAAATTTCGAGGGTGGCCATTAGCAATTTACGTGTTGATAATTCTTTTTATGATGAAAAATGAACAATGAACAATGATTTATAACGGGTAAAAAAGCATATGCTTGACAGGTCCCGTAGGGTGGTTGGAGAAATAGATAAAATGGAAGGATAATGGA